AGCAAAACACAGTCCTCCACAGTATTTGTCCGTCGATACAATTTTATGTCGTCGGCAAATAACAACATTTTTGAGTATTTTACACAAGAAGTGAGGTCATTTACGAAAATTAAAAAAAGAAGAGGCCCAAGATTGCTTCCCTGTGGAACGCCCGACGTAGCCAAGAAAGGATTCGATGAGCAACTGGACACACGTACCAAGTTCTCGCGTTTAGACGAGTAACTCTCAAAAAGCTTGCAATACTTGGGGCATAAATCATACATATCTAACTTCGCCAATAAATGCCGGTGATCGACTTTGTCAAATGCCTTCGTCATGTCCAAGTAGACCAGATCAACTTGCTCCCGGTTATGAACAATGGGCACAACATCATGCAGAAAAGAACACAAATTCGTCTCCACCGAACGACCTTTCGAAAATCCGTGCTGTTCGGGTACAATTTTCTGACGAAAATACGCACGTTGGAATGAAGAGTAATAAATCTCACTTCGTCGTCGCAATCATATGTAGTTCAATATTTGCACTTTTCGTGATGTCAGAATATGGCGGGAAGCATTGAATTGCTTATTTTTAGGCACTAGATGTTTTCGAGAACTTGCTCGTAACCCCATTGTGACGCGCTTCTCGCTTTTTTTTTTTTTTTTTTCACAAGGCTAACTGTGATTTACTGCAAGAACGAGGAAGAAGCGGGGGGATCGGTGGCCGAATGGCCAAGCGCACACCAGTTCGGAGCACGTGGAGCGAAAGCTCGCGCTGCAGAACCCAGGAACCCTGGGTTCAATCCCCACCCCTGCCCACTTCGATCTGGATAAGCATCGTACCGGCGTGCGGTCGTGTATCACTACTACGCGGTGCACGTTAAATGCCCCGGGCTAGCGGTTGTACCGCACTGGCTAAATTTTTCATTTACAGCTGGAGACACCAGACGCCCATTATAGGCAAACTAATTTCTGGCTGTATAAATATACACACGACAATTTCTTTTGAGTAAGAAGCGCGAGAAAATATTTGAGACAAGAATTTTCAGCGTCAGGGACCAGAATAAGCGCCCCTTTTCCTAAACTTCTCGACCTCGAATTTCAGTCGCCTTTTAAAAGATGTCGCAAGTGCGCGCCGTCTGCTACGACATTAGTAATTTTAAATATTTAGGACAATTAGCACGCTTTATGAAAATTACATTAATAAAAAGTGATTTTAATTAGAAAGACCGAGAAATTGTATAAATAAAGAATCGTTGTTTAAATAGCTGCTTTCTTCTCTGAAACCGGTTTCTTGCGTATAGAGTCGGGCTTCGAAATGGTCCAATAATTTAAAATAATCTTAAACAAATCTGAATTTGAATACAACCAAACCAGCCCTAGAGAAAACCAGCCTGGTTCTTCTAGTGCACAATTAAAAAAAAACATATAAAATGCTATAATGCACTTTGAGAAAACCAGGAACGCGTGAAGGAAATTCTTTGAAATTTTGTCATAATCAAGTGATGTTTACGAAAAAAAAAATGCTGGCGTTTCATTTTTAATATTTTTATGCTGAGTTCCTATGTTTACCAGGATCATGCCCTTAAATGTCGTTGCTGCTTTATGATGTGAACCTGAGTTACGAAACTTCAAAATCGTATAATAAAACCACCTTTTGAAGAAATATAAAAAAAATATGAGTGCACTAATTAAAAACAAAAAAAAAAGTCAGTATGCAAGCACACGAGTCATTTACCTAGTAAAAAAAATACGAACGCGACTTGGATGCGTTACAAGTCTAGAAACTTGGAATGGGTAGAGGCATGTCTTTGAAAATATCAAACTTTGCACTTTTTATCTTTATTGTTCGATAAGTTTTGAAAAATTCAAATCACTTTCTGCACTAAGACACTGATGATGAATTGGCCATTTATTTGCAAAGAATGTGAACGCGCACAGAGGCGGTATTTGAACTACAAACAGGAGCGTTAGCACTGGTGCCACCCGTATTATTATCGTTGGGGCCGTGGGACTGCCGCCTTAAAGGGGCGATGCAACGATATTCTATACAAATGTTTTTCACTCTACACGAGCTTACTGGCACTAGTGGGACACATGGATACTCGCACGCAACGCCACTGGCCAAGAAACTCCTTTGTTGCGGTGTAATTTCAAGGACAAAAGCAATCATTTTCATTTAATCTCTCCTTTGCAAAATTTCATGACGTAACGTGGGAATAGCAGTACACCCAATGACGATATTTGAATGCGGCTCATAGATTGGACCCGAGCATTGCGTGGGCAGTCGATTTGGGCTCGTGATAATTACCAGCTCGAGAACCATTCGGGTAGTGGCCCGTGTCCAATCGCTGCAACGACGACAATAGCCGAGCCATAACAATGTCCGGAACTCAGCGCGTGTCCTGTGCTTTGCCAACCCCGGCGCGTGGCTATGATCAACATTGGCGGCATATAATCGGCTCCAGATCACGTGGCCGCTTGTTCTGGCTGCGAGTTGAAAAGGTGAACGCTGCTCGTTTTTTTTTTTTTAATTTTTTTCTGGGACTTCTATTGCGTGGGGTGAAAAACGAACGCGTGTTTCATAGGTCATTAGCGTCAGGGATCCGTTCTTAACGGTATTTGCACAAAGTACAAAAATTGTTGCATCGCCCCTTTAAAAAAAACCTGAGAAAAAAATTAACAAACTGGTTGGCACACGCGTGTCAAAAACATAATTTTACACGAAAAAAAAAATATGTAGAGCATTACTGACGGTGCGAGACGCAATTTGGTCGGTAGTCACCTCCTTTCCACTTGTTTTTCTCTCGAAATTTCGGGCGCGTGGAGGGGAGGTTTATCGGCCTGAGGCTTCACGTTGAAGTGGTAAGAGCGAATGACCACTCCGTGACGTCATGAACTTTGCGCGCAAAATTTCAAAGAAATCTCTCGCCGTCAATATTGCTCTCAATTTTTTTTCGCGTGAAATTTGCTTTTTAACTCGCGTGTCCCAACCAAACTGTTTAAAAAACATTTTATTTTTATTTTCAGGAGCCTTTTATTAAGTTCAAAGCTGCACTGCAGTGACTAAAAAAACAATGACCTCGTAAAAAAAAAAAAAAAAGATAAGACAAGGCCTCATAGAGAAGCTATAACCGGAGTGCGAATAAGTTTTAATCACATTTGTAGTTCAAGCATGTGCATAAAAAATACAGTAAATTAAACATTTCCAAGTGTCAACGTGCTCACAATCTTTCTTTTTAGAAATCACCGTTTTTTAACGCAACGGAGCTGTACGTTGTATTAAAATTTTGTATTTATTTTTTTTTACTTTTCCAATGGCAATTAAGTATTTATTTGGCTATGAACAACTTCGATAAAATAAGAGTTTAATAGAATAAAACGTGTACTAATGGGATATAACTATAGAAGTTCCGATTCCTTCCTGTGTTGGTCACTGCCATGAGCACACTAAAAAGAAACGGCTCCGTAAAGGGCCGGCCCTGCGTCCCCTGCATGCACTAAGCACATGCGATATGTTTCGAGCGTGAATGAACGTCCCTACAAAAATAGAATAAAAAAACTGTGTACAAGAAATTTATTTCTTTTGTCTGCGTATTAAATAATTATTTTTCGGTGTTGAACCTTGTGTTTGCGTGCTATTATCATGGCAGCCTGAGCATGCCAATATTTGCGTTTTTTTTATGCATTTGTGTAGAAACAGTACACTTTAAATATATTGCATATTGTCGCGAAGTTGTGATCGCCCGCGTGTTTAGTCCAACTTTACTTTATGTTTTTATCTCCCTCTAGGATTCGCTCGTCTCCACTGCATGGCTCGTGATTTCTGCCGGAGTCGGGAGGCCCCAAGTGGGGGCGAACGTGAACTGTAAAAGGTACGCTTAGATTATAGAACCCTGCGTCGCAGTTGTTTTGTCTTGTGCACATCTGCTTTTAGGATCTTCACTTCGGAGGCGCTTTTGCTCCTTTTATAACTTCTCTGTCTACGAATGTGCTTCTTATTGTTCATGGCTGCTCTTTTGAGCTTCGTTCGGAATGTGTTCTTACTTGGTTATGCACTTGTTTTGGGGACGTTAATATTTGCTCTGGTCTCCGAGCCTTTTGATTGGCTCTAAGAAACCCTTCTGTGATTGGATGCCAAGGTGGCGCCAAAATGCTGCTAAAACGCAACATAAGCCGCCGCCAAAGGCCCGCAGTCACCCTGCCTCTGGAGGCCAACCTGCACGTCCATGGAAAACTCCCTAACCCTTCGGCTGTAGAGTATTCCGCCCGCTAACTTGCCAACTTGGGAGCCCTTGCGGCTGCGGAGCAGTTCGGCTCGCACGCCTTCGTGTTGATTTTTGTTTGTTGAATTCGGCTGTGGTCGGGGCACCCGCTGAAGGTCTGGTTGAGGAGGACGGCAGGGGAAGTCACCAGAGGTTAGGAGCCATGCCCCCAAATGTTTTGTCTCAAATTATATAATGTGCAAATTGATGTAAAAGAGTAATTTGCCTCTTCTTCTTAAATAAAAAAGTTGCTAATTAGATATCAGAATCATCACCAAGAAAAAGTACCACTATTTTCTTCGTTACAAAATAATCCAGATATGATATAACATACAGAACTGCAAATTTCGCTATTAATAGCTCGAGCGCCACGTTTATATATTTTTAATAAAAATAGGCATGATACAACGAACATATAATATTCCTTTGTCGACTTAACTGAACACATACATCATGATAAAAAAATTACTGCACTTCTTCCAATATTATTTTTTAAGTTATTTACAGCAAAATATGATCACTTCGACGGTGCGCGTAAATTCGAGCATTGACGTTTTCACGATCTGCAATTTTTCTGCACACCGAGGTTGTTCTTTTAACAGAAAGGGCAGATTTGTTGGAACTATATATTAAGGAATGAGATATGGAAATAGCATGTGAATTTTAAAATCTAGTCCAGTCATCCGTTCTTTTTATCTCCTTCGAAATCTCGCAGCGAATGCCGCGACAGCCTCGACGATTGAGAGAGGCGTGGGAGGCGAATTCGGGGAAGGCGTCCTCGTGCAAATGGCGGCCTCAATCACAAGCCTGTGGAGAAGAGGCGCGCGTCGGTCTCCGGGTTCATATCGCCTTTCGAGCCGCACCGCAACAAGCAAAGTCTCTCGAGTCGTGGCGCGGGTCACGTTGCAGCCATGAGGAGTCCCCGCGGCAGTTCTGCCATCTTGGAAACCGAAGCGGTGCGACCGTCATTGGCCGGACGCAGAAGGTCGTCCTTCCCCCTCGCCATCTTGATCGGGGCGCTCATAAAGCGCGCCAGGAAGGCCGTCGACGTGTTTGTCTCGAGCGCAGTCGCCAAGTTCGCACACGCCGCGTCCCGATCTCGCCACAGTCGCCGTCCACCCTCGCCCACAGACCGTGCCAGCCGTGCCCGCTTCCGAGCGCCCAGAGTCGTCGGGCAGCCCGCAGTACCCCCGAGCCCTTAGCCCAGCCCAGGCAGCCAGCCCAGAGTCTCGGCGTTCGGCGCTCCCACTGACCCAACGAAGCCCACCAAGGTTCGGATGCGCAGCAAGGCCGTCGCCTTTGCAGTCATTGACCAGCTGTTCGAAACCATTCTCACCCGGCGAGGAAGCCGTCTGGGTAACAGTGGAAACGTCCTGGAGCTACAGGTGCTCACGCAGTTGCACCACGTTCCTTGAGGTGAGTTGCTCGGACCCGGCCAGTCCTCAGGGTGGGGATCCCGCTGTCGCGCGGTTCGCAACAGCACCATGCTGGCATCGTGAGTTCACGACGACAGAGACGTTGATGACGACTGGGAGTTGAATTCCTCTAGTGGAGCAGCCAGATTTGTTTTTCGGAAGGGGGCTTGGGATGGGTGGGGTCTTTATGAGTTGGGAAGTTGCATATGCATATTCTATGGTCGGCTCCGTTATGTGTGAGTGTCGGGGGCGGGGGGTGGGGGGGGGGGGGGAGGAAAAAAGGGTTAGGTTTACGCCACTGGTATCTCCGCGATCTGTTCCCAAATATTCTTACTGTGTGACCAAGCGACATCTTAGTGGTCGACCATAACGAGAGGATCGTATTAGTCATCCTTCTCGATTAGTGGTTTATCCTGGATTGGCAGTTTCAGGGGTGGGAGGGGCTCTGAGGTGTGTATACCATAAATTTGTGTACTTTGGCAAAAAAAAAAAAGAAATATATATATATATATTTTTGGGTGTCCAACTTAGCCTGGGAGTGTGTTAGGCCGAAAGGGTTGGGGAGTTGGAATCATTGTCTCGAGCTCTCCGTGATTCGAACCCCCTGGGGATTCCGGAACTCTTTTCAGCCGGTCTCGGAGAAGCGGGTGCCAGGCGGTTCGGTTGCCTGCTCTCGCAGCCTTCGTGCTCGTTCGCGTTACCGGGCTGCGAAAAACAGGTTTGCTTCTCCTCCAGACGGACGTGCAATAAACCGCTCGCTCCTCTATATATACCTGCCCGAAGCGAGACGAGGGCACCAGCCTCCGTCCCCGTGCCTCGCCACGACGATATGGAGACTCGTTTCAAAAGACTTCCCAGCTGGTAGAGGAAACGTGTGTCGAAAGGTAGCCATCACGTGCCTTGCTCGTGGGGGGCAACGCCCCAACGAGTTGGAAAATTCCTGTTGCAACCTTGATTGGGAACCGGCGTCCTCTCTCGCTTCAAGATATTCAACTTACCCTACCACATTGCGTATCATGTGACCTTTTTTTTCTTTTTATTCTTTTTATGGGTCCCTTCTTGGCCTCAGTCTAAGCGAAGAACGATTCATTGCCATCTACCTTTTATTCGAAAATGCGCAGACGACGCGCCAGTGTTGGAGAGCGCGTTATAAAGACATGCACGCCCTTGTGCGCGTGCTGCACGAGATCCTCGATAGCGTATCCCTCTCGGTCGCGCTAGGTCGTGCTAGCCAAGCGCGTCGAACCAAGCCCACTCCGAGGCTACCTCCAGCAACGTTAGTCTCCAGCACGACCTGATCCTTGTCGGTGCTGCGAGCGGACTGTGAACTGTGAGGCCGCTGGCTCCCAAGATTATAATCTTCAAAAATCCAAAAATAGCTCCTTCTTTTCTTTTTTTCTTGCGCCGAGCTTTTGTTTGAGCCAAACCGTTCAGCAACAAGAAAGAGGAAAGCCAACCTCTGCAAGATGTTAAAGGAAGGATAGTGCCACTAAATATGCTGTGCTTCGGAGTAACGACCCTTACCCATTTTGTGGCTTAAAATTATAGTTTCCAGATATCTCAAGCTTTGTCCAAAATCACAGGAAACACTTTTCGTGCTCCATAAATGTCCAAAAATGTTCAGACACTTCGCGACAGAGCAAGGCAATATTACTTGAGCTTCCTATCACCGAATCTAAGACTGAGGAAGTCGCACTTTTGAATCATGACGATCGGAAGTTGCGTCTCCTCTGCACAAGCACCTAGATGGCGGCGCACACAACAATATCGGGGAAAACAGTGCCGATACACTAGGCGTAGCACATTTGGTGTCTCTAAGGAAGACAATATTTCGCTTACCTTATAGAATGGATTAACTGCAAAGGCTCTGCAAGCGTGAACGGGTAGGTTTGATTGCCGTGACTGGAGCACTCTCTGCACGAGCGCTCGTGCATCCGCCGAGGCTTCGAGGACAAAGCTAATGGCTGGCACTTTTATCATGCGCGGCTAACAATAGTCCATTCTAAAGTGAGACAAAATATAGGAGGCACTTAAGTATGTCAACAAGACGAAACGTACTAACTTTTTCAGATTTTCAACATCTTCAATTATTTTGGCATACAAATGAATCTGAATCCCGAGAGTGCAAAATGGCAGTAACACGTTTGAAATACCGAACACCTCGCCTGGTCCTTTACATTGCCACCCTCCGTCATGCGTTTACCGTTCGGAATTTGAATCCACAGAGCATTTCTCCCTACCTCGTCCAAGGTATGCGGACCTACGCCAGCGGCTGCTGGAGCCGCCCCTCTCGCAGATCGCTGTTCCCTTCACTGTTACAAGCCTACTTTTTTTTTATTGAGAAATTCCTTTGGATTATGCTCACACTGGTACACGTAACCTTGTGCACAAATTAAGTACAAGATCAACGGGATTACTTTGCTTAGCCTTTCCGAACTCATTAATAAAATACAACGGGTTCACGAAAACAATGGAACTTTTTTCCCATAACGAGCGTTGTCTAGTGGTTTTTCGGAGAACTACAATCCCATGGCACTGAGGGCAGCTGTGGATGTGATCCGAAGGCTTTCAGCCGGGGTGCTGAGCACGTGAATCTCCTTCTTGGCGCTCCGATTATCCAATCGCCCTGGCAAGTCGCAAGCGCTTGCACACCTCGGGTTTCTCAGAATAAGTAGCTAAACTGCACGTGACATGGTAATAACCCCAGTGCAATACGAGCGAATTGAAGAAACCTCGAGCCGTAATCAAGTCTCATTACCAAAACAGACTAGCTTTCGAACGACGTTGAACTCCTTCAAATTGTTTTAGGTGTTCGGATAAGACATATAGGTCAAAAAACGCAGTTTTTCCGGAAAGGAAAAAAAAAAGTTTTACCGCAATATTTAAGTCGCAATAATCATTTCAGCGATTCCGTGACGTGCCTCTGTATCGCGATCAACATCTCGATATGGAAGAGTGCTTCGGAAGCACCCCCGAATCAAAATTAGTGTTGCAACGCAAGCAATACGCCATTTTTCTTCCTTTCGGAGAGAGCTTATTTAGTGACTAATGTGTTATTGCCAGGCATGTGAGAAATGTTCGAGGCAGTTCTTCCAAAACATGCTATTTTTTTTTTTGCTGTGTGTGTGTGTGTGTGGGGGGGGGGGGGGGGGTGACGTCTCCAAATGAAAGCGTTTTTGATTCAGTCGTATCTAAAACCGGGTCTCGCGACGCGAAATACTTCACTATATCTTCTGGTGACTGACGAGGCGGGAACTGCAGAGCTTCAGTTGTCCCACCTCCAGCGCGAGCTTTTTACCTTCGACAACGCTTCGGCATATCGTGCACCCGAAACGCGCGCTCGGAGCCAAGGCTCGGCGGAAGGCGTGGAGCGCGCGCAGGAGACCCGGTGTCCGATGGACACGGCATGTCGTTCTCACTCTGTCAGTGAGTATAGTAAGATCATGTTATGACATCTTTGTCCTGTTCAAGCATTTAAAACCCCTTTTTTTCGCGATTTTGTCTCTTTACGCACTTCATAACCCCCCCCCCCCCCCCCCCCCGGGTCACACAAGCACAAAGCAAATGGTTACTGTTTTTCTGGCATTTTTGTTTTGTTTTTTACAGTAAACGTTACTATGAATAATGGACATGATCGAGCTTCTCTTTTCATAGCCGGAATCACACTGCTTATATATCCTACAAAACACAGTCTTCATGCAGAACGCGAGTCACCGCGAGATCCGTGCTTCGAATACCGCATGGCAATGAGTTCAAATAGAAAACTTGGCACGCGGCATTCGAACCACGGATATTGCGGGGACTCGTGTTTGCGGATTGTCCTTGGTATTATGTATGAGCATGGTGACCCTGGAGTAAATACTGCATAAGGGACATACACATGCCAATAATGGCAGTACTCAAAAAATGACATTCTATCGGTGAATAGCACCAAAAGTATATCCAACATCTAAGGCTGCCATCTATCAGAAACGGCGCGCTTAATTTTTTTTTCATATTCTTAAACTTATATTGGTCAACCCCCCCCCCCCCCCCCCCCCCCAAAAGAGCGAAGAAGCTGGACTTAGACTTAGTGGCTCCAATAAAAGAAAGGTGCCAGCATGACAGAAATTATAAACATTAATTTAAAAAAAAAAGAAGAAAACACTTTAGTGCGGATATTTGATCATACTGAGATACGCGTTTGTCGATGCGCCAAAAACGCCAATTTCTCAAAACCATGGCTATGAGGCTGTTCTAATGAACAGAAACTCTTCTGCCGCCTCCATGAACGGCAGAAAGGCAATCTACATAATCTGATTTCGTTCCAAGATCTCAAGGCCAGCCGGCCATAGTTATCAAACTACACGCTGGCACTCACGCTGGTGTTGTTTGTGCCATCGTGCAAAGTGGTAGCATCAATATGAGCAGGAAGTGATATACGTTGGGAAGCAAGTTATCACACCTGATGCCACAGCCTACCAGAATTTCGACAGCCTCCCAATTATTCGATGGGAAATGGTCGTATAAGTACCTCACCATCGAATCAACGGCAACCAAGACACTAGGCACGGTGACACAAGGCAATGCCGGAGGTCTGACCGTGCTCTTGCATCAAGGTTTAGACAACTCAAAACATTCAATATAGAAACATTCTTAGGCTGAAGGTATGAGGTTTAAAGGACCTCTGACACGCCAAAAAAAAAATTCAAAGTGCCCGCCAGTGCCCTGTGATGTAACATTGTAGCGCAAGGTGTCAGGGCGGTCAGAAGGAAGGCATAGACATACGTCACTGAAAGTGGGTTTGCCGGAAGTCACGTGAGTTTCACTCCTCGTGCTCTCCACGACCGTGCCTAAGACTTTTTTTTATTGTTGTCTTCTTTACGAGCGATCGTAGAAAACTAAGTTTCAGTTCCACTAGCTTTTTATCGCTGCACCGTTGGTTAGTTTGCGTGCCGTAAAAGTTGAGGACGGAGAGTCAGTGGATCGACGTGATGGAGGTCAATGATGAAAGCGTTGCGA